TTAAATCCGCCTTTGATGATGATTTATATAAAATAATTCGAATTAAAAATGATTATCTTGGCATAAGTAATGTAAATCAAAAAGATTAACCTATAATCAAAGAATTTTACCTGTGGATGTAGCAACTGCAATAATTCCGTTCGCATCAACAGCGACTGCACCAACAGTTCCCGTCGGATCCTGATTAAATTATCTTTCCCTATAACTGAAATCATATTTTCCGAATTTTTTGAAATCTTTCCTTTTTCTAATCCATCTAAATGTTGTTTCCATCTTAATTTTGTAAAGAAATAACCAGGATCTACTATTCTAATCCCTTTGATTTTGCATAGTTCGCGACTTCAATACCACCTAAAAATAAGTGAGGATTATCTGGATCTAGTAATAAAGTTTTTGCTAGAATTATTGGATTCTTTATTGTGTGGAGTAAAGTGCATGATCCCGCTGTATGGGATGAAATACCAAGCATGATTGAGGCTTTTAATTCATTCTTTACAAAAAAATCAATAAATCCGAGATCCGAGGAATTAAAAATAAATTATTTTTTTTATATGATAAATTATGATCACCTTTCCTCCTTTAGTAAATACTGATCCTTTGCTAGCGTTAAAGAGAGAGGACAATCTAAAACGAAAAATTCGTAAAGTTTCTAGAATTTCTCATTTATATAATAATAATAATAATAAACACCTCCCATTACTATAACTGAGGCTTCTACAGCATCAATTGAACTTCCTCCTTTAGCCAAATTTCATATCAAACTTTAAATGAATTCTTCAAAGCTTCCCGATATTCATGTTTTTTTCCTCCGTGAACTTATTCCTAACTATAAGGACAGATAATTTAATTAAATAACGCATCGCTTTATAAGACACAACATTCATAGAAAGCCTTATGCATCCTCAAAATTGTGATTCAATTTGAATGGGTATCAAAAATATTTCATTTTTGCTGATCCAAAATAAAATGGTGCAAAGTTTCTGGATCAAGAATTTAAATACATTTTATGAAAATTTGCACGCACGTTAAAAAAATAAAGGATTATATAAAAAAGATTTGAAAGAGTTAAGCTTAAACCGAACTTGATTAACTTTTTGTTCAACAGTGATGAATTTTTTTGTTCGACGTTAGTGTAAGCTGAGACTTTGTCTAATAAGGATGAGTTCTTAAGTTTGAAAATATTGCCAACATTTTCATTTGTCAAATCGGTCACACAATTTATAAAAACTACCGTCGAGATGTTGTAATGATGAAACGAAGGAATTTCAACTCCATCAAAAAAAGGTGAGGTCAAATGACTCTTCATCTGGATAAAATCAAGCGGTTAAACTGAATTGGAAAAAAGGACGACTCTTGATTCTCCAATGATTAGATGATGATAAAGATGTAGGCAAAAAAGGGGATTACTGGCTAAATGACAGGTAAAACTTATTACATACATTTTGCATGTTCTCACGCAATTTGATCATTTTAGACAGTGTAACATACACACATTACATTTTTTAAGGTTCCGCACTGCACTGTAGTAATAATGCAAAACTTGATTTTTATTTGCGTCCACTTGTTTTCTTTCAGCCCCGCTTTTGTTTACAAAAACAGTTAGACATGAATCCATTTTGGGAAATAATGCAAATGTATTGAATTTTTTATAAAATGTCAAAAACTTACTGTTTTTTAAAAGTAGCGGCAAATCATGAATGAAAGTGAATTAAAGACTCATTTGCAAGAATTAAACCAATTTCAAGAAAATCATCCCAAAATTTTCAAATCATCAAATACCAAAAATGATGATTATTCTCTTATCATTCCTCTATCATCGACAACTTTTTCACAACTTTCATCTGCAGAACGACAAGAATTATCAAAAATTTATTATAATCTTGGAACAACCATTTTAGATAGTGATGATGATATTTTTTCAAAAGAAAATCATGATCAAGCTTTAGATTACTTTAAAGCCTCTACTTATCTAAATCCTCTTGGTAATAAATCGGCATACTTCATGATGGCCAAAATATATTTAAAATATAATAACAATAATATCGATAATAATAGTAATAGCAATATTGATAATAATCTTTTAAAAGCTTTCACAAATATCTTAATATCCAACGCCTTGGGCGAAATTTCACGTGATAATGAAATATTTATTCAAATAATTAAAAAAATCCCATTCAAAATTCCCAAAGATATTCGATTAATAAATTCTTCAAATAATAAAATTTCACTTGATCCATTATTATTTTTAAAAGATATCGTATTAGTTTTATCACCTGGTACTTATACTCTTGACGCTTCTATCATGGATCAAACTATAATAGTAATCGGAATAGGACATCAGGTGACAATCAAGAATGTTACTTGGCATACATTTACGGGACAAAACAGTTATTTAGTTTTATATAATTTATTTGTGGAATGTAATGACGGACATAATGTATTTCTTCAAACATCAAAAGCTTTTATAGATTCTTGTCAATTTATCAAATGTTCAAAAATTCAGCCACCTATTTATACTTCAGGACGAGAATCAATTCTTTATTTAAATAATTGTGAAATAGCTAATTCACTTGACTCAGGTGGACTTTTAATTAGTGAAGATAGTAAAGCCATTATAAGAAATTGTCATATTCATAATATTGGAATGAATGCTATAGAAGTTCGATATGGATCAAGTTTATATGCTGAAAATAATAATATTCATAATAATAGACAAGGTTTAATAATTTGGTTAGACGCTGATAAAGTTAAATTGGTTAATAATATTATTAGAGATAATAAATCTGAAGGGATTTTAATTGACGGAAATCATGAACCACCTGAATCTGAGGCATTAAATAGTATGGCTAAAACGACTCTTCGTGATCATCAACAAAAATCATATAGACCTCCTCCAATGACTCCTTATACTCGACCAAAACAAACGACAGTTATTTTATGTAAAAATAAAATTATTAAGAATGGAACATTTGGTATTTCCGTCGATTATCAATCAAATGCGCGAATGGAAGATAATGAAATTTCTTATAGTGGAACTTCAGGGTGTATCATAAAAGGTGGAGTTGATTCATTTCTTTACAATAATCGAATTCATCATAATAGGGCAAATGGTGTCGAGATTGGATTAAATTATCAAGGGAAAGTAATATTAGAAAATAATCATATTTATTCTAATACGAAACAAAATATTTCAGAAGCTTTTGAGGAATTGAAAAA